AGGTAATCTTTTCTAGTTGCCCTCCTTCTTTAGAATTTTTCTGGAAATTCTCACATGGTTATTTTTCTCTAGGAACTTAAAATAGCTGATCTAGTTCTCTTCCAAATCCCAGAAAATCCTATTGGGCTTTTACTGGGATCACATTAAATTAAATTTTAGATTAATATAACAAAATTGTTATCCTTATATAAGATATGCCTTTCCATTTATTTTGAGTGTTTCTAAGTCACTTAGAATAATTTATAGATCTTAAAGATTCAGTTATGCATATTTTTTGTTAAATTTATTCCTTCCTTCAATTTGCGGTTGTTAGTATTATAAATGGAATCTTGTCTCCAATTAAATTTTCTAATTGGTCATGGTTTACATATGGGAAAGTTATTACTTTTTGTGTTAAATTTGGAAGCTGACTGGATTCTCTTAAAAATGTTTAAGTTTCTCAGCTGATTATTTTGGGTCCACTTATTAGCTACTGATGTCTTGAAAATGAACTGGTCAAAATATGCCCTTCTCCCCCCCCCCCCCAATATTATTTTTATTTTATTTCATTTTCGTATTCACAAAAGATAAAACTTAAAATAGTTCTAGATTTTTCCTCCTATTCTGTTGAGGTGTGGCTGCTTCTTCACACGTGGCAGGAGTGGGGGGAAAGGAAGGGGACTACATTCACATTGGTTTATTTGAGGACCCAGTGCAGAGTTCACCTCCTTTTAATCAATGTCTACACTAAACATAATGAACTCTATAGTTGTCTGTTGCAGGAACTTAGTGTAATGGGTGCTGTGTGAGACATACAACCAGAAGAAAATTAAAACAGAATGTGGAGCACTAGCTGGTTTGGCTCAGTGGATAGAGCATCAGCCTGTAGACCGAAGGGTCCCAGGTTTTATTCCGGTCAAGAGCACATGCCCAGGTTGTGGACTCAATCCCCAGTAGGGGGCGTGCAGGAGGCAGTGAATCAATTATTCTCCTTCATCCCTTCCTCCCTCTCCCTTCCTCTCTGAAATCAATTTTAAAAAAAAAAAAATTTTTTAAGAGAATGTGGACTCTATTGATATTATGAGAAGAAGTACTTGGTCCAGTTTATGTGAGGGATAGTCAATGCTGGATGTTGTAACATTTGCATGAGATTAAATACAATCATCAAAAGAGGGTCTTTCCCTACTGTGTTGTTTTAAAAACAATTAATGTACAGTGTCTTGATGTAAACCATTATAGATAGATTGGAAAATGTTAAGTAATAAGTATCCCCCAATTTCACAAGATAATTCTTTTGGTAGTTTAAAGATAGATAGTAGTGGTAATGTTGAAATTGAGAAGATGGCATTATCCTAATATATACGAGCCTAGCACACTAATACAAACATGGTCCTTATGTGCTGCTGTACTCACAGTAGTTTCTAAACCCTGGTCTTTAAAATGTTGATAAGTGAGCCAAAACCGGTTTGGCTCAGTGGATAGAGGGTCGGCCTGCGGACTGAAGGGTCCCAGGTTCGATTCCAGTCAAGGGCATGTACCTTGGTTGCGGGCACATCCCCAGTGGGGGGCGTGCAGGAGGCAGCTGATTGATGACTCTCTCTCATCAATGTTTCTAACTATCTCTCTCCCTTCCTCTCTGTAAAAAAACAACAAAATATATATTTTTTAAAAAAATAAAAAATAAAATGTTGATAGATGAGTCCTGTGACTTTGTCAGAGGGCCAGAGAATAGTTCCAGACCCTCAACATGTGGACCCAAGCATGAAAAGGAGTCCAGGGCAAACCAAGCACTCAGCCCTAAGGGTGTTGGTGATAACCAGAAGATTTTCTACCTGAATAACAAGCATAAGAGGCTAATGAATGGAGAAGATGGGTAATTACCAGCTGAGAGGAAATAAACATTTAGACCAGAGCCAAACTTTCCATTTGATGGTGACAGTTTTATATGTTGTGGCCAAAAGATTCTACCTCAAGTAAAAAAATACAGCAGTTGCATTGGCTGCCATCCAAGCTTGCCATGTAAACTCTGATGTGACCTACTCATGGGGCAAAAAGTGAATGTGAAATCTATGGTGCTCAAAAGAAAGGAGTGGGGCTGAAACCGGTTTGGCTCAGTGATAAAGCCTTCGGACTGAAAGGTCCCAGGTTCGATTCCGGTCAGGGGCATGTACGTTGGTTGCGGGCACATCCCTGGTAGAGGGTGTGCAAGAGGTAGCTGGTCGATGTTTCTCTCTCATCGACATTTCTAGCTCTCTATCTCTCTCCCTTCCTCTCTATAAAAATCAATAAAATATATTTTTTTAAAAAGAAAAAAAGAAAGAAAGAAAAAAGAAAGGAAGGAAGGAAGGAAGGAAGGAAGGAAGGAAGGAAGGAAGGAAGGAAGGAAGGAGTGGGGAGGAGTTTGTGTGTAGATGTAGAAAAGATGGGAACATTCTAGAGACTGAGGCTCGGGTCAGGGTGTTAATATGTACAGGATTGGAGGCTCCACAGACTCCAAGCCCCAGGGATTATCCTAACCTGGTCATGACAAGTATAATCAGATGGGCTAAATCTTTTGGTTCTAACTCTTATAGAGTGAGAGAGCTGAGTCAGCGCTGAAAACCTGGTCACAGCAAAGAAACACACAGAGCACTCTCCCTGATCTATCCCCAGCGGGTTGAATGAAGACAGTGGGCTGAATGTACAAGGAGACAATGGTGCAGCTGAAGACTGGAAGACTCCTTTGTTCATGTTAAGTGAGCTGGCATACGTGTGGAACCATTTCTGGGGTGGAGGAGTGTTGTAGAGGAGTCTGAAGCATCACAAATGTGTCTGAACATTCCAGTCTAGAAGACATTTTTCTGTGAAATTCTGTGATCTATAGATATAACATATTTTGTTATTATAAGAAGCAAAATAAATCATCATAACTAACTATATAAATATATAAAATATATAAGTATGATGACTTATTTTGTTTCTTATAAAAACTGTTAATATTACTGTTATTATTCTTAAATTTTTTTAATATCTGTTGTATGCCAGGCACCATGCTGAACTCTATATGCACTGCCTCTATAAGGTAGTAACTGTCATTTTCCATTTTCATCTGAGGGAGGTGAAGAGCCTCTCTGCTCACACAGATTGCAGGCAGTGTGGCTGAGATTCAGACCCTGTCCTTCTGACTGCGGAGCTGCGGAGCTATACTTAGTTCCTACATTTAAAAAAAAATTGCCAACTTAGAAAGTTTATAGCGGTTTTCCATTATCAAGACATTGTCTACTTGCACAAAAAGGAAGGTTTTGTCCTTTCTGATTTTTATTTCTTTGCGTGTTTTTGTTGTTGTTGGCTTGCTCTAACGAATATTGAATTAGAATCAGACTCTGGTAGAGACAAAGTGAGTGGTCATAGATTTTCAAGCTTAAAGTAGTAAACTGGAGTATTGTGAGATCCTAAGCCATAATGAAATCATGGAGAACATATCAGTAGCAGGATCAACAACTTAACACATTTAGACCACTGATCACAGTTACCAAAGAGAAGGACAGACTTGCTGTTCATTCATTCCTTTTCTTTGTTGCTCAACTCAACAAATATTTATGAACTTAGAACTACATTAGTATGCAAAGGAAGATACGCTGATTACATTTCCAATAAAGCACAGGCAACCCATCAGGGATGTCGGTGCAGCCTGCTCTCTGCTTCCTCACAAACCTTTTCTCTAAAACTGCATCTTGCTATTTCTTTTTTTTTTATAAATTTACTTTTCAATTACAGTTGACAAACAATACATATTTATTTCAGGTATATAGCATAGTGATTAGCCATTTATATACCTTGCAAATTGATCACCCCAATCAAGTCTAAAACCCATCTGACACCACACATAAACATCTTACTTTTTCTTGATAAGATGGAATCAGCTATTCTAACTGGCTGATTTCCATTGCTAATCTTTCAAATAAACATAAGAATATTCTTTTTTTGTGTGTGTGTGCCAATTGCTCTTTTTACCATTGAAATGAGTTACTAGGATGCTGGAGGTTTGGGAATGGCTCAGGAGGCAGAGCAGAAAGGCAGAGTTGCTAGAGAAAGTGGAGTAGATGGAAGAGGAAGGAGCCAGTGAAGTAAGAGTTTGTTGGACAAGGACCAAATTAAGGGGCAGAATGAAGAGAGGCCAGGTGATAAGGTAGGGCAGACAAGGAGGGAGTATTGCTGACAAAGCACACAGCCAGAATCTAAAAACACCAACTAGGGTTCCTGGGCCGCTGGTGGAATTGCAATTCAGCATTGAATTGCTCAAGCCAGGGGTCAGGGCCTTCTCTAGAAAATGAGACTAGAAGCAACTCAGTCAGGATGGTGAGGATCCTAAGTAAGTGCACTAGAAACCACATATTCCACAGACCCCCCCCCCCTTTGGGATATGGTTAAAGAGAGAAGTTTCAAAATAAAACCTTGATGTTCAGAAAAAAAAAAAAAGAAAAAAAAAGTAATGTGCGGTACTCTACGGACCTCCTTGCCTCAAATGCCGGGTGGCTGCTCAACTGGGTTCCCAGGGGGTGGGACTATATGAGATCCTAGTACTGTGGGATGTTGGGCTTCCCCAAAGCTCTTCATAACATCTAAATTCCTCCCTGAGGCAGTCCTCCCTTCTGCTCTCTAGGCTCATGAGGGATGGAGCATCCTCTGGCTTCCCCGACCCTTAGCAGGTGATTCTGCCTTTCTTTTAGCCTCTGGGCTTCCCATGCTCAACTCATTTACCCCTCATTCCTCCTCAGGGGTCAGCAAGAAGGGGCTCCTTTCTCTTTCAGCCTTCTGGCTCATTCCCTGCCAGAATCTTCTCAATACACTAAAAGGAGAGTCTCCTCTCCCACCTCATCCCACAGTTCCCACCCTTCTTCTTACCCACTTCCCCCCCGCCCCCCAACACACACACCCATTTCCCCACACAGGCAGATTCAAAGCTGTGGTCTAAGCATCCATGGGAAGGCAGGGAGCAAAGTCTAAGGCTCAAAAGGATGAAGAAAGGTCTGAACACTCACCAAGTGCAGAGTGTCGGCTTTCTGTGTCTGCCTCTGTCGGCTCTTCTGGGCAGCAATGCGATTTTTTTCCCTCCTCTGAACTTTCCTCACGTCGTCAGATGAGTCCTGGGAAGAGGATATGATGAGAATTAGGCACATCTTGCTTCTCTCTTCTGAGCTAACGCAGGCTCTCCTGCTGTTTGATGTGGATCCAGCCATCCTTCCATTTCTTCATTGTTTCATTTGCCCGTCCACCCCCTATTTACCAAAAGGCCAAATACAGCAGGGAACCCTTCCCCACACTCTGTTATGCTCCCTTAGGTCTCTATAATTTTTTTTGGCCAGAAGTTACAGGAAGAGGACAAAAACCTTGAGGCCGCCTCAATAGAGCTGTATTTGGAAAAATGGTTAAGGCGATGAAGTGTGTTTTATCACCTCTCCCCCTCTTCAGGGCTGCTCCACCCTTACTCTCTCGCCTTTTGGCTCAGAACTTTCTTGCTATTTCTTTTCAAAACTTTTTGAGCCCCTACTATGCGCCAGCTTCTGTACAAGTGGCTTGTACCCAGTGTGCCTTCTGCTGCATTCCTGGGCTGAGGTCCCCATCCCAGATCTGTCTCTTCTTTCCCTGAATCCCCTTCGTGATGCACAGTGACCTTGACATTCCCCATGACCCTGAGCTCAAGAGGTCAAGAATGGCTTTAATGGTGAAGGTAACCTGGCTGTGGCAGGTAGTGAATGGACACTTAAAGGGACGAAGGGCCCTTGGGGGGTTCTCTAAGCACCTCTCACAGATGGGCATGTCTTCTGCTTGGGCAGAGCAGTTAGCTCCAGCTTTCACCCAGATGCTGTGGGATGAATGCAGGAGTCTGAGTGAAACCTTCCTGCAAGTACACACACACACACACACACACACACACCACGTCCCCCTGTCTAGAGTTGTGCGATTCCTAGGACAAGACTCTGTGCTCACCAAGCATATGCCTCACTAATTTGCCCAACACTTCCAGCCATTGTGGTAGGAGGGCATCGGGTTAGATAGGAAGGAAGTGCTCTTTCTCTGAGGGGCATGGGGACCAGGTTACCATGGAAGCCATGAGTAATTTCCTTCCTAAGAAGAGCACAGACTTCCAGGCAATCTGAACCGCCCTGATACCATCTCGGGCAGAGGGCTGGATGGTTTGCCCTCTAGGGGCCTCTCCTGGGACTCCTCCCAACCTGCTCCTCTCCTGCTAATGCAGGACCCATGTTACAGTGCTTTTATTTTGGCAGCAGCATTTTGAAAGCCTCTTGGATATCTGTGCTAAGAAAGAAAAAAAAAGGAAGACATTTAATCCAATGATGTATTGGAAGATAAAGAAGCCTTCCTATAGAGAAGGATGTCAAGAAAAGTGGTAAAGCCAGCACCGGTTTGGCTCAGTGGATAGAGCGTCAGACTGAGGACTGAAAGCTCCCGGGTTCGATTCCAGTCAAGGGCATGTACCTTGGTTGCGGGCACATCCCCAGTAGGGAGTGTGCAAGAGGCAGCTGATTGATGATTCTCTCTCATCGATGTTTCTAACTCTCTATCCCTCTCTCTTCCTGTCTGTAAAAAATCAATAAAATATATTTTTAAAAAAAGAAAAAAAAGAAAGAAAAATGGTAAAGAGAACACCCCAGAAACTGTGAAGCAGGCGGAGTACCCCATTTTTGGCAACCCCCAAGCTGGAAACTTCAGACTTAGAAGTCACAATCTAGTCTCCAAATGCCCCAGAATCTCTACCTCGCTTTTTGGCACAGGACTTTCTTGCTATTTCTTTTCAAAACCTTTCGAGCACCTACTATGCACCAGCTTCTGCTCAAGTGGCTTGTACCCCGTGTGCCTTCTGCTGCATTCCTGAGCTGAGGTCCCCATCCCAGATCTCTGGTTTCCCTGGAGCTGAGCTGAGCTGCTAGGAAATGTCTCCAAGTCTCGAGTCACCTCCTGATTTATTTCCTTCCTCCTGTCCAGAAGCCACGGGGAAGAGCGGTCTTGGCCGCCGCCAGCATCCCTCCGCTGGCTGTGCTAGTGGCAGGGGCAGTGCCCCAGGAGATAAGAAAGACGATAGAGCCTTCCGTGCTGCCCCGGCTCCCCTTCCTTTTAACTTTTTTTTTTTTCCCCTCCGTTTCTCTCCCTGCCCCCTGTCTCTCCTGCCCTGATGGCTGTCTCTGGAACATCGACCTCGCTAGCCTTTGGGTCCTGCCTGCCAGCAGCCCATGCGGAGGCTCCTCCTCTTGTGATTTACTGCCTGGGGGAACGCAGCGCCTTTCCTGTGAGAGACCAGAGCTCTTTGATGCTCATTCTCCCCCAGGCTTCCTAGAAAGCTTCCTGTGGTGGAAATCCAGGTGAGGCAGGCACCGCTGGAGGACAGGGGGCTTTGGCAGAATGGGCAGGAGGATTAGAGTCTCTGCCAACAGGCTCTGCTTGATTACAAATCCCATGTCTCAAGTCTAACAGACTGCCCATGCCACCAGCCACTCACTTGCTCCTCGGCAACCTGGGCAGGATGAAGAAACCTGTCCCTCTTTGTGTGTCCCCCGGGAGAACCAGACGGGAGAAGGGAGGGAAGGGGACTCTACCTGTTTGCCAGGAGGGGGAGAGCGGCTGAAGCTGGAGTCGCTGCTGTCGGAGCTGTGAGGCATGGCTGCAGTCTTCTGGGCTCTCCTCGCAGCCCCAGACGCCTTTGGGTTCTCCGGTCACCAGCCGGCTTCCCTTCCTGACTGCTCCCGGGCCACCAGGTCGCCAGCCCACCCCCTCGGCAGGTCCCTCCTCTGCCTGCCCGGCAGCCACCTCTGACCCCTGTGTCCTCCTCACTCTGGGGTGCAGAGGCACTGCTCCCCACAGGGACATGTCGTTAGCTTTGGGCTCTCACGCTCTCTCTCTCTTGTGGTTTCTGGTAACTCACGCTGGAAGTCACATGGGGCGGAAACTTGAGTTAGAAGTTAATTTAAGATAAAGTGCATATATATCTGGGAAAAGACCCACAGAATTATGTGAAAGAAAGAAAAAAATATACACAAAACCCCAGATACCTTCCGACAGTTTGAAGCGCTCTTTAATTGATGAAGATAAAAGAGAAAAACACCAGGGAGGGAAAAACCCCAGCCAGAATTAGCAAGTCCGGCTGCTGTCAACACGCGCAGAAAGGGGAGTCGAGAGCAGGGAAGGAGTTTCCATTGTCACCTGGCTTGATTTCTTAAACCAAAATAAAACAGAGACTGGGATTTCTTTCTGGTTTTTGCCTGAAAGCAGCTGCCCACCCGTCCTCACTGCTCTTCCAGTTCAGCCAGCCTTGGGGGGCGGGGGTGGGGAAAGGGGTGGGCTGGGGATGAAAAGGCCCTAGGACACAGTTCTTGCCTGACTATCACACGGAAGAAGTTATGGTCCATCTGAAGCCAGGTGGGGAGGCATCGCCTACGCCTCCTGGCAGGGTGCTCTCTTAGGGAGAAAGTGCCTCTCAGTTGAGGGTCTTTCAAGAGCTCAAACTTAATGATTCAAGAAGTTCACTAGAGCCCTGGCTGGATTGGCTCAGTCCATAGAGCCTCAACCTGAGGACTGAAGGGTTCTGGGTTCGATTCCAGTCAAGGACACATGCCCAGGTTTCGGGCTCGATCCCCAATAGGGGGCGTGCGGGAGGCAGCTGATCACTGATTCTCTCTCGTCATTAGTGTTTCTATCTTTCCCTCTCCCTTCCTCTCTGAAACCAATAAAAATGTATTAAAAAGAAAGTCAGTGGGTTGCTAGGTCAGAGTCCAGAGTAAGAAAACAAACAAAAAATAAAATGAGCATTATACTTGGAGTCAAACCAGCCACAATTTGAAATCTGGCTTGGCCCCTTAGTACATCTGTGGCTTTGAGTAGCTCACTTGAGCTCTATGCCCCCACTATCTCCATCTGTAAATGGAGGAAGAAAAAAGCTGCCCTACCCATCTCTCAGGACTCTTTTGAGAAGCAAAGAATATAGCTCGTATTAGAATGCCTGTAGCAGATTGTACAAGATGCTGCAAATGGCTGTTACTTGTAGTATTACTAGCTTTGTAATGTTATTAGCCATGCCATCAGTACCTTTGTAGAGTTCTCAGTAAGCAATCCAGCACTCATCTGGACATTTTGGCTTTTTAAAAAGGACTTGCCTTAGTTCTAATAAGGCTAAAATCCAAATGCTTGTCCTAACCAGTTTGGCTCAGTGGATAGAGCATCGGCCTGTGGACTGAAAGGTCCCAGGTTTGATTCTGGTCAAGGGCATATACCTTGGTTGCGGGCACATCCCCAATAGGAGGTGTGCAGGAGGCAGTTGATTGATATTTCTAACTCTCTATCCTTCTCCCTTCCTCTCTGTAAAAAAACAACAAAATATATTTTTAAAAATAAATGCTTGCCTTGCTTAGTTTTAGGATCAACAGGAGTTATGGCCCCTAAAGGATCTTGTATCCACTGGCTGAGTTTCTGCCCTAAGACAACATTGCTCTAAGGGTAAATTGAGCAAAACAAATTTCTCCTCTCCTAGAAGTTGTATTCGAGTCTGGGAGGCAGAAAGTAAATAAAGACATTATTACATAATGCATCAGTGTCAATTGCTTTGGAGAAACATAAAGCAGGTAGGGGTTTGGGAAATTTTGGGGTCAGTGGGTTGCTAGTTCTACAGGGTGATCATGAAGGTCTTACTGAAAAGGATCACCTGAGAAGAGACTCAAGGGAAGAAAGGGAATGAGTGATGTGGGTGTCTAGGGGAAGAACATTCCATCAAGAACCTGAAATGGGCGTGACCAAGTGGTTGAGGATCAACCTATGAACAGGAAGGTGGCAGTTGGATTCCTGTCAGGGCACAGGCCTGGTTTGCGGGCTCCATCCCCAGTGTGGGGCTTGCAGGAGGCAGCCGATCAGTTATACTCTCTCATTGTTGATGCTTCTGTCTCTCCCTTCCTCTCTGGAATCAATAAAAATATATTATAACAAATCACCCTGAAATGGGAGTGTGTTTGATGTGTTAGAGCACATGTGTCAAACACAAGGCCCACGGGCCAAATCCGTCCCGCCAGGCCTTGCAATGTGGCCCGCACCGCGCTGTCATCACTGCACTCCGCTGCGTTTCCATCACAATGACAGTTTATGACTGTTCAGTAAACCATTCGGCCCGTGATTTAGGCTGGATTTTAGATTTTGGCCCCTTCTCTGATTGAGTTCGACACCCCTATGTTAGAGAAACAGCAGGGCGGTCAGACTAGGTGGAGCAGAGAGGCAGTGAATGGCAGAAGATGAAGCCAGCTGTGGAGGCCACTGGAAAGATTTTGACTTTTGTTCAGAGAGAAATGAAGACCCTGGAGGACCTACCCTCCCACTTCCACTCTGTGATGCTCTATCTCAGCCACTATTTATTTCCTTCGTAGCACCCACCACATTGTGTAATTATTTTTCTAGTTGATTGACTTTGCGTGTGAGTGTTTTGATTCCACCATTAGAATGTTGACTCCACTCACAAATTTCATTCAGCAAATGTTTAATGAGCACTTACCAGGTATCAGGCAATAGTCTAAGTACTGGAAACGCAGTGAGCAGTTGACTTTTTCTCAGAATGAGATGATGAATCAGTTTAGCTCTTGCTGCCTAACAACCGACAAGAAACTTCAATGGTTTGAAACAACCAATTATTTAGCTTGTGAGTCTGGTCATCTGGAAGGTTCTCCTGGTAGAGGCTGGGCTAGGAGTATCTCAGCTGGACTGTCATGTATCCTTAGACAGTTAAGGTTGCCAATAATTGGCGTATCTAGAATGGTCTTGTCTGGGATGGTCTGGCTCCAGGTGGTCTCTCCTCCCCTATCAGGTTTGCCTGGGCCTGTTTACATAGCAGCTGCTGGGATTCCAGGGGTAAGAGCAGGAGCTTTCACAGCCTCCTGCGGCCCAGGCTCTCCCTCTGCACGCTGATCCTGCTGTGCATGCTTTGGGACAAAGACCCTCACAAGGCCAGCCCAAACTCAGTGGACTGAGTAGCAGACTTCACCTCTCGATAGGAGGCATGTCAAGAACTGTGGCCAGCCAAAACCGGTTTGGCTCAGTGGATAGAGCGTCGGCCTGTGAACTGAAAGGTCCCAGGTTCGATTCCGGTCAAGGGCATGTACCTTGGTTGTGGGCACATCCCCAGTGGAGGGTGTGCAAGAGGCAGCTGATTGATGATTCTCTCTCATTGATGTTTCTAACTCTATCCCTCGCCCTTCCTCTCTGTAAAATATCAATAAAATATATTTTTTTTAAAAAAGAAAGAAAAAGAAAAAAAGAACTGTGGCCATTTCTGCGATCTCCCACAGATGAGGAGCCAGTGGAAGCTTTAGAGCAGAGGAGTGGTGAGCTCCAACTTGGGTTTAACCGGACCTCTCTGGATGCAGTTGAGATTTTACTAGAGGGGAGCAGCGTGGAAGTAGGGAGGCCAGTTAGGATTATAGTATGAATTATTGCAACAATTGAATTGGGAGATATTGGTAGCATAGACCATTGAGGAGGTGAGGAAGGTGGTGAGAAGTGGCCATGTGAAAACCAAAGACTGTGTTTCTCTCATCTATAGATATATGCCCAGTGCCGCCCTAGGTAATGCCTAATAAGTAGTTGTCAAGTGAATCAATGTTTGAATAAATAAATGAATTTCACAAGAACTTAGCTCATAACTTATGACGCTTATCATGACCCATAATGTCCTATATCATTTCTCACCCATAGTATACTTAAAGCTGTATAAGGATAAAAAACAGTCATATTTATGTTCTATTAAGTTTTATTTAACATTTATTAATAACTATTATGTAGCAGAGATCATAATTATGAATAAGACAGAGATCCTGCCCTCATAGTAAGAAGGGGAAGTAGCCAACTAACCGAATGGGTTATTATAGTGTCATAATATTTACATGAATTGTAATATTGTCTTTGAATAGTCTATTATTCAAGCAAATACTTGTTGAATGAATAATTGCTTGGTTCTGTGGTTTCACATCAATACACTTATTTAATATGTAACAGAGACTAATGAGGAGAAAAATATTGGCTGACATAGAAAGATAGTCTCTTTCAATGATATTCTTGGAATTATTTTTAAATATTGAAGATTAAGAAATGCCAGTGGTTGAGCATCGTCAACCTATGAACCAGAAGGTCATGGTTCAATTCCCAGTCAGAGCACATGCCTGGGTTGTGGGCTTGATTCCCAGTAGGAGGGGTGGGGGAAGTGCTCCTGGCAGCTGATCAGTGATTCTCTCTCATCAGCGATGGTTCTCTCTCTCTCCCTTTCCCTTCCTCTCTGATATCAATTAAAAAAAATTTTTTTTAAAGATGAAGGAATAACACACCCTTGTGTATCCACTATTAAACTTCATACATAAATTATAAACAGAGCTGAAGGACTCTGTCCATCCTTTTCTAGCCACATTCACCACCCCTACCCTCAGGCAACTATTTTCCAATAAGTGATCCTAATCCCTATTCACTTCCCTATGCTGGAATCATATTTATATGTATACCCAAACAATACTGTGTTGCCATGCATTCCTTTAAACATTTCAGTGTCAATATTTTCACATTTAACTTCTATTGGTATTTTATAATATAGTGTACTACCATGTTTCCCCCAAAATAAGACATCCTCCAAAAATAAGACCTAGCACATGGAAAGATAAGACATCCCCTGAAAATAAGACCTAGCGCAACTTTGGGAGAAAAAAATAATATAAGACACTGTCTTATTTTCGGGGAAACAGGGTAGTAGCTTGGGATACCTGAGGCATCACATTTGGGTTATTTGGAGAACTCCACAAAGCAACCAAGTACAGTTGTAATGCAGCCAGCACCAGTCGGCTAACATCAGCCCAGAGCCCATGAAGAATGCGAGGGTGGCA